TCCAAGGCTTCAGAGAAAAATAGAAAAATAATAAAGTAGACGAAAGCTGTGAACGACTTACATCAGAAAAAGTTTAAAGGAAAGTGGATCTGTGTTTTTTCTTATTTTTTTTTCTGCATGCCCCCCCCCCTCCCAGACAAAATTTCTGGCTGCGCCACTGCATAACAATGAAATCCATGATTATAACACCAGACAGAGCTCAGATCTAAACATTCGGAGATTTCGTTTAAGTCATAGCCGATACGGGGTGAATTACTATGGACCTCTATTTAATAATGCACTGCCTAGGAATGTGCAAACATTAGATGACAAGACCTTTTTAAAAACCATAAAAAAATCACTTAAAGTTTTTTTTTTTTAAGATAATTCCACAAGTCTAAAATTTAGTAATTATGTTGGCAGCACAAGCCTTGCAAAAGTAACTCAATAAATTACATTTAAAATTTAAATTTGCCGCCTATCATGAATGTTTTTGAAAAGAAAAGCCATCAATTTTAGCTTGTATTGGGCAGAATAGAAATAATAAAATATTTACCTATTTACTTCCATCAATCAGAGAGAGAAAGTAAACAAACAAAAAAGATAGCGAGATCAATCATTTAGTTACTTTTGTTTTTAATGTTGACAGCCCGCTAGTAATTTTTGTTTTCTTCTTTTGGCAACTATGTTCGCGCACCGCAATATGGCGACCAAACAAAAAGTCAATTGAAAGTATTGACAATTTTACATTGTATTGCCAACATAATGTCACTTTGACTTTTATCTTTAAAAAAAAAAACAGACTTTACATAGGCATGCATTTCACAATTTCAACTGACTTTCTGTCTTTGTAAAAGTTCATTTTGAATTTTAAACAAGTGAATGTTAAATTTTAATTTTAATATTAGTAGGTATAAGTGATTTAAAAAATTAATTTCTGTGACTTGGAATGTCTGTTTTTAGAAATAACTAATCATAAACTGTATTTTTTTCTGTTGACGTGTGCAAATAATTACCTATGTATTATAAAGCATGAAAATAAATTTGAATTTGAATTTGAATTGAATTCACGAACTCCATGCAAAGTTTGGCATCTTCTACATTTGAATTTTTCTCCAGATTTAAAAATCTTTTATCCACAATCATCAAATAATGGCAGTTTTATCCACTCATATGAAGCGTCTAAAGTGATACTTTATCCACTAGTGGAATAAAATAACTTTATTCCACTAGTGGAATAATGGAATCAAGAAATACAAAATTTTTAATTCATTTATTGATATTAACATTAACATTTATATTAATAGATACTCCGTTGTTGAAAAGGTGATAAATTCCATCAGCTTGAGAACGCACGTTTATGGGTGTTTTGGCAGAATTACCAGGAACAGGAATATAAGGTGTCTCCTCTTGTGAGAGACATTTTCCCGTTGAATTTTGTTTGCAATACTAAGCTTATTGGAAATGGAATCCTCGATATAACTTTCAGCAACAGAGGAGCTCTTCCATCCACCATGTGTATATACGTGTGATTGTGGATAAAACGTTGTATTACATTCGTGTTTCAGTTGCATTTTATCCACTTAAGAAAATTAAACTCTCGAACTTCGTTCTCGCGTTTAAACATTCTTGCGTGGATAAAATGCTCCTAAAACACTTATACAATAAATAACTATTATCTGCACCACTAGAATTTGGAGCTAATTTTTTATAATTGTTATGGTTTCCTCACCTTTTCTTGACAAACTCCACTTCAGCAGAGATTCCTTGCAAAGGATAACGCACACCTACCATGGGATTTTTGGGCTCTATGGATTTTGCTCATTTTTTGATATGTTGTAGAGGATTTCATTCTGAACAACCTTTAAATGGGAGGAAATCTTATAGGTATTACGATCTTTGAGATATGAGCGTGAAAAGATGAACTTTTTTGCGACTTTTTGTGTGGAGAGTATACGTGCGTTTTTATTCTCACCGATGTGCTCATCGATTAAGCGAAAATGTCAATTGGCTGTTTTTATTCTCATCAGTAAAACATCGATGGATTTCATCGGTCTGTTTTTATTCTCATCCTACACTTATCGGTGAAAGTACGATTAGCCATCGAATTCATCGAGGTTCATTTAGGATGAACTGATGAATTATAACGTAAAATGTAACCTGAAAATTATGTTGACGGTTGTTGATGGCCGACTGGCATCGTTTTGTTTTGCATTTATATTTATTATGTGACGATTTGCGAAGATCTTAACAAAAAAAAAAGGAAAAAGGGCATGTTCAAGTGATCTGAAGGGTGTGAAAACCGAGATCATACCAAACCTAAGAGTTCTGAGCATAAGAGCGCCAAATTACCTAACTTTGTGACAAGTGATAAATATATCTGAAATATCAAATCAAACTTAATTTGTGAGGTCTTAAAGCTCAGCTAACTGTCTCAGAGATAATTTTATTTCTAATATCTCACCTCCACTACAGTCCTAGTAAGTCTAAAATGAGACTTAACATATATGCAAAGAACTACAGAAGAAATATAATTTTGTATTTTTTTATGTTTTCTACAATTCAAGTAAAACTATTTCATCTGAAGAACTTCTAGACTCATCACTTGATGATGATGAAGAGCTCACAATTATTCTCAACTAACACTAGACTTCCAATCATTGTATGGCTACGGTTTTTCAAACAAATAAAAAAATAATAAGTTTGTCACAAATGTCACATCAAACAAACAACACAAATCAATGTCAAAAGTGTCAATTCAAGTGTCAAAATCCATCGAAGTGTTTTTTAGTTGATTCATTCCATCAACAAAATTGCGATGAATTTTGATGACGTACTGCTCATCGGCGCTCATCGGTGATGGAATTCATCAGGAAAACTCGATGAGAATAAAAACGCACGTTATACGAGATACTGGTGCTACTGGTGTTTATCAGTCAAAATATTGTCGGGTTCACATATTTTACGTCACTTAAAAATTAATGTCAACTTAGGTTAAGGCCGGGACCGCAATGGGGTCAATGTTTGCGCCAGTGCGGTCTCGGCCTTAGCCTATGTTGACATTTGTTAGTGACGTGAAATATGTCAACCTGTCAAAAGTTCGACTGATGAACACCAGTTTTTCGTATACTCTCCACACAAAAATTTGCCAAAAAGTTCATCTTTCAACGCTGATATCTCAAAGACCATAATACCTAAAAGATTTCGTCTCATTTAAAGATTGTTCAGAATTAAATTCTCTACAACATATCAAAAAATGGGCAAAATACATAGAGCCCAAAAATCCCATGTTAGGTGTGCGTTATCCTTCATAGCCTGAGATTTAGAAATTTCAGCAGCTCGGCATACATTCACAGCCTTAGACAAGTCAAGACCTTCCACACGTAGCAACCTTACCTGTATGGCCATCTCATCACCTGAAGCACCAAATTCACCGGACTATGATAATTTCTTGACGTCTGTTAAAAACTGGTCAAATCCTCCACCTTCTTGTTGATTCCTACTATAAAATTAGGAACGCTCGAAAACTATATTTTTCTACAATGATCTTCAAAAGCTTTCAGTACACTTTGAAAAGACTTTACTTCTGTTTCCGATAACGTGAACGAGCTGTACATTTCCACACCTTCTTCACCAATCAAATTAAGCAGAATGGCAATTTTTGTTTTTTTCATCATCTTTTCCAGACTTACCGCAGAAGCTTTCAGGTAGATTTCAAAAATTTCTTTAACTTACGCCAATTTTCACTCAAATTTCCTTGAAGCGACAGATTAAATGGGGTTTTAAATTCCATTTTTCTCGACAATAATTATATACCTATGGTTGAACCAAATCCAAGCGGCAGTAATGACAACTGGTCATTTTCATTACAACCTATCAAATGTCCTCCGCGCATGCGTACTGGTCCAGGTAGGGCATTTCAAGCAATAGGAAGGCTGGTGTTTGTTTACAATTTAGGTTATTTAATGTCATTTACTGCCGCTTGGATTTGGAAATGGTATAGGTATCTACCTCGACTGCGCCATGTTGTGTCCTTTTAGTGATACTTGAAAGACGATATTTTATATTCACTTTATTTGAAACTTCTAAAAAATGACAAATGAAACTCTTTAGATAGACATAAAAGCTGCTTACAGAAACACTGATCTCGGATCAGTTCGATCAGTATCAGCTGTTCAAGGATTAGTAAACTATCTAGGTGGAGCTAGTTTAGTTTCCGAACGGATGGATCCGCAGATGAATCTTGTCAAATGACACCTCCAACAATCCTTACCTCAACAAACATTATTTTGATTTTCCGATTTTAATTTAACTCTCAAGTTCTTAAATTTACATTTTTTGGCTTCTTACTGTTGAAGATGTTTTCCACATTTATTTTTGAGGGAAAAAAATCAACAAACATCTAAAAAGTTGGGTTAAGAAAAACAGCTGACAGCTGCCAATCCTATTCACCCCGCATTTTATCGGGTCGATGAGATCCAAACATATGATACTGAACCGAACAACCCGATCGCTTTCCATACAAGAGTGAAGTGATCGTAAATCCCTTTCCATACGTCGAGATTGGTGATCATTGTGATCGGGTTAACCCGATCATAGTCTCCGTAAGCAGCTATTAACTGGTGTCACCTATAGGGTGTGTTGCAATTAATTGTTACCAGCTCTGACAGGTACCCTTACCTACTTTCTTTATTCACCCCTTTACCATGTCATTGCCTTTACCCCACATTATAAATTCGAAAAACTCAACCAATGAACATATTGCTGAGATACGTTGAATTTATCTCTAATTTGCAAATAATGGCAAATTTCTCCGTGCACATTAGTTTTTGCCAACTGAAATTATTCCCGAAAGCACTGGTTATCGAAGAGCGAGAAAATTACCAATAAAAGCTACCCACGTGAACCACCAAAATTCCGATAGCGAAACCTTTTATCGTCGTGGTCCTGTTATCACCTTGAATATTATGGGTAGTTACGGTTTCAAGGCTCTTACTTACCTTTTGGCTTTTTGATTTCAGCATCAGCCGTAGCAGTACCACCAGCCAGTTGTTGTGGGTACCGCAGCAGGAATCAGTCAGTCGTGTGTAGAATGTGGGGTCGCGCGCGGCTAATCGTCCTGTTGGTGGTGACCGCGCTCTCGACCTACGCTGCCGATGGCACCGTCGAAGAAGACAACCAGCTGAAGGTCGGCAGGTCAATCGACATCTTCACCAGGTCAGAATACATTTTTGTTTTTGTTGTTTACATTTTTTTTAAATAGTGTTTTCAAGTTTAATTCATGAAAGTTTTAAAAGATATGCAGGAGGAACAGCATGAAGTGTAGAACCCCTAAAAATCGGCTTTAAAGGTCCAACCCAGGGCTGGGTTTGTGTTTTTAAACATCTTGTTTATTTTTATATTCAACAAGAAACTTGTTTTTCCCTAAGCAATCTTTATATGGAGTCGGAAAATGGGAAAGCGTTGCGTTTTTTACATTCTGTGGTGCAAATAACAATGTTCTTTCTCATGGCGCGCTGTAGATTCACCAAGACGAAAGATTTGAATATTTTACAAGTAGTACATACATAAAACTTAACAATCACAAAACTAACTAAAACACTCACCCCCATTCTACAACAAATTAAATCGCTTTGCAGAATGTGAAACTAGGAGAACTCCAAACTTTACGGTTAGGTAACCTTTCATAGGATCTGTTAGGGGATGACAGTAAAATGTTCGCTGTAACTTATTGTTGAACATTTAATCCTAAATAATTGATTACGTTAAACTAGTATACCATTAGGTATGTTGTTGTATCATCATGGCATTCATTTGTATAATCTACTTCCAAGATTTTATTAGATCTGAAAATCCATGGACAAGACTTATTTTGATCTTACTCCTCAGGATAATCTATAAGCAATAAGCAAATAGCATTTGTACCTATATTTCGAACAAATGTTGATTTTTTTATATTTTTGTTACGTAATCTTTTTGTGGGGCAAGTTTGATTTTGTTTGGTAGGTACTGAAATAGTGTCAATGCTATCCCCTCTTTGCTAAATGCAACAGACATTGTAGAATATACACCTATATGGCTTCTTCAGTTTTTAATGCAATTTCTTCTTCTTCGTTAACTGTAACTATACGTATTGTTTTTCATGGATCTCTTAATTTTTTTTTTTTAATTTTGAATTTCTGCTATTATGTACCTATCGTAAAGTTACGGCTAGAATGCAAAGCGATCTACAGGTTAACAAAACTCTAAGTACGAGTTCAGTTTTTTGGGTTTCAAGTATTATTTGTAAGCCGTTTTTAGTTTGAATTGGCATCATTATTTCCATAAGTCTTAAGTTTATTTCATTATTACTGCCAATTATCATTATCAAAAATACATCAATCATCTTGATTTTGTAACATTCATGATCCATTTTGAATTCAACGAAATTACAAGAAAAAAATTGGTTGCAAAAAACTTACAAGGCAAACAGAATTTATTAGCAACTATATTGGTGTTATAGTGTTACTAGGTTAGGAGTGGTTTATATAAAAATTAAAAAATATTAATTAACATCGCTTATTTGATTTTATTTAATTAGTGGCTATATAATTTGCCTTCATTTGGCTAATGCTGTTGACGTCCAAATGCTAAAGTTATGAATGAATTATTGTTCATGTCGATAGAATCTATGAATGTTATCATTAATTATAAACAAATAAATATTTACGTAACAGTATTCACGATTTTCGTAAGATGAGATAAGATTCAGACTAATACGAGGTCAATAATCCTGCTTGTAACCTTTTGCAGAGACTGTTCTTCGCGTTTTGAAACTGGTTCACGATCAAGAGATGATTGTTCACACTGAGACTATCTTTTTATATTTAGGTTGCAAAAAAAATAAGCCCTTTTGAAGTTGCTTTCATAAATACCAAATGTACCGGGAATATTTTGACCTCTTCTCTAACTCTTTTTCTTTCAGGTTACCTAAAAAAAAATACTTCAGTACCTACAAAAGTTGTTTAGTCTAAACAAAACCCTTCAAATTTGGGTGTATTATTTGTACAGGATATCCCAGAAGCGGTGAAAATTCTAAATTGACACCCTGTATTCTATTTGATTTTTAGATTTTAGGCTAAATTCTAAGACACCCACAAAATATATTGTAAATACTAAATATCACCTGTCCTTATCCTATTCATTTATTGCTGAACTAAATATTATTTATCTAAATATAATTAATCGTCAAATGCGGAAGTAATAATTCTAGGCTGATTAATTAGATAAAAACCAAAAACCGACCTTGAGATCTAAAATTCTTACATAATATGAAACGCAATTCATGTAGGTAATCTTATGATGGGGTTTTCAATGGTGAATCCCATAATTAATTCCCAGCCAGCACCAATAATAACCAATTTACCTATTTAAATTTCAATAACAATAAGGTTGATGATGCATGTATAAAATTCTTGGGAATTTGTTGCAAATGGAATTATGATGAGAAAAAATTTACAATTGTCAGGAATTAAAATTTTTACTAACTTTTCAAGGGACTTTTCTGGCCATACCACTACGTACTTGAGTTACCAAATATAGATAGACTATTGTCGTACAGATTATTATCTTAAAATTCGTCACGATATTAGAGACTAAAGGTTATATTATTGTTTTAAAAGTATGTATTTCTTATACGCTTCTGCGAAAGCCTTGACATTTTTTGCTCTTTAATGGTTATTTATGATATATGTACGCTATGCCTAAATAGACAATAATAATTATTGAGAAACACAGATGTTGAATGGTGATTGACAACTTGGCAGCAGTTCATAATGTTTTGTTTCTCTTTAGGATAAGTAGGTATTAAAAATTTGTTGAAAGTTTCAAAATTACTTTTACTGATATCCATGAATATTAATATTTTTCTCATGTTTTTTACCCTTGAACCAAATAAAGATAATTTGTCAACCATGTCTCTTCTACATTAATTATTAGTACTATGATGTAAACTTTACAAGAGAGTTGGGGCAAATAACACTTGGCATGAACTTTTTAGTTATTAGCCTTCCAAAATTAGAGTGCCAAATAATTCGATGCTGAAAAACTGGTAGGTAGTGATATTGTTGAAACCAGAAGACCATTAGGATTCATTAAAATAGGGACTCAAACTAATACAACCAAGATGACAAAATTCCTTCTAAATGGAAATGAAATTTCTAAAGAACAGCATATGGTTTCATAAACATGAACTTCTATAGTAGCTAACCTATAATGACTCGCCCTTGATTAGCTGAACTGAAATTATAAAATTCATTTTTCCAAAAGTATATTGCCATCAAAGGTAAAGGTAAATTAAGAAATGGTAGAAATCGCATGGCTCTTTTTGGGCTTAATATTCTTCACCAACTTCCTAATAGCCAATCAAATTGAAAAGAAAAGTTTTCGAGGATGATTTTAAATATTATAGTAAGCCAAATCAACACAACCAATAATTATGGCACGATAAAAAACATATGCGGCTTCATCTAAGAGTAGGTACACTAAATATAAAAATCACCCAATGTGCAGTATATACAGTCAGGATGACATTTAACTGTATGGGTGTGCTGCCCTAAATAGTTATTTAACCTCGACATATGGTTTTGTTCTGTGCCCCTTCTATATGACTCTTCCAAATAAGTTTAGCACCCAAGATAACACCTAAGTATTTAACTTGGTTGCTTCACGGTATCCATGGTGGTATTGAGGTAAATTGTGCCGTGTTCTTAGGAATGCCAGAGCGTGGTTGTTCTGTGCATTAATCTTGATTTTCCAGTTACTGCTCCATTGGTAGATGAAGTTCATTTCCTCCTTGAGTCCCTGACTGTATACGTATACAGTTAAATTTGTTGTTGATGTGATTTATTGCTCTGAGTGACCTGCTCTGGAGCCTAATTTTCAGTCAGTTCGAGCTCTTCAGTTTCCTCTAGTTACCCTGCCTCAGAATGAAGTTGGTGGTGGTAATCAAGGCCATTAGAGCCTTCCTATATTGGAATCTTCCTAATCACTGTTAGAAATTGCATCAAGACCTGGTTCCTTCCTGGTTTTCATGCCCCTGTTAGTCTGCTGAATATCCTGGGGACTGACGTGATTCCTAGTATGTCGTTCACGCAGTCTGTCGGCTGAATCGATCACTCTCATCTGCCGAATCGTTTGTCACTTAATTCGAGCCCTTTACTTTCCTCTTACATCTTTCACTTGATAGCTCTCCCCGGCACCTCAGAAGAGGCAAGAGACTGGATGGGATGATAGTTCTTGTTTGCTTTGGTGATATCACTAATTTGCGGGAAGTGATCCACTTTCAGGATGGATTATTTGATTATTATTTTCTATTCACCATAGCGTTATAATATTGTTTTTTTTTTCTTTCTTGGATAATTTAATATGTTTGATAGGGTACAATAGTGATTCAAGATAAGTCAGGGTGTTTTTTTTTTTTATATATTGACACCCCACCTACAGCCTTTACCTTTACAGGTAGAAGAAAGATGTCAATACAAAAGTTGTACAGTTTTGGCTAAATTTTTAGCCATATGGTCAGAAACAAAAATTGAATGTCAGAAATAGGAAATTTTGCATGCTTTCAGCATTTTTCAAATGGGATAATGGGATGCCTTATATTTGGTTCTATATTCTTAAAGAGCACAATGCCCCAATTCCAAAAATATATGGTTTGTCTATATTTGGTTGAGCAGTCCCTTATATATTCCGCTCCAAAAATTGTGAAAATACTATCCTACTAACTGATTTTGTGAACCATTCTACCTGTACAGGGTGGGCCAATTTGGACACTTTCTTATGGAAACACCCTTTATTTTTAGAGATAGAAAAAAATGAACCCCCCACTCTGAGGCTCAAATTTCATGAAATTTTGATTGGTGCAAACCACATTTTGATATCTTCAACCGTTTAGCCGCTAGAGGGCGATTCTCGATTTTGAGCAATACTGTGAAACCTTCATAACTTTTTTATTTATGAAAATAATTCATTTCTGTAAAGACTTTCTGGAAGCACTTTTTTAAGTGAAATTCAGTGACGTTCTCAGCTTTTTTCTATTTGGCTCCGATTCCGAGATATTGACCAAAATCCGATTTTTTTCAATAGGACATCCTATATATTAATAGCTCATTGAAAAGCTCTGCTTTTGCTGATTTCAATGATATAAAATTCGATAGGTTTATCTCCAACGGTTTCCG